CTGTGTAAATGATGATGCATAGAACTGTTTCAGCCACCAGCGTTCTTTCCAGCTCTCCACCTGTGGGTGCCCTGCCTACAGGTCACAGTACCAGAGCATTGGTGGGTTGATGGTGGCTTTCAGGTGTAGCTAAAGTATGGTGTTGCCATAATTCCCTGAAGCTTTCTTCACCCTTTGCAGTGACTGGTTTACTTAAATATTTTAACTAAGTCAGGGATTTGCCGTTATCTGCTTTGTTTGGGGGCTTTTGCTTTCCAAGGATCACACAGTGTAGACTGGAGAACAGGCATTTGGTGGACAGAGTTAAGATCAGAACCCAAAACTTCTGATCTATCAAACAGCAAGGTGACCTCCAGCCAGCAAGTTCTCACTTCTCTGGGCTCATTCCATTTGACAACAGAGGGTTGAATTCCCAGTGTGGTCCAAGGGTCAGCAGCATCACCTGTGAGATGGCAGGCAGTTCAGGAATTGGAGCGCCACCCAGAGCTGCTGGGCTGGAGTCTGCACCTTCATGAGACCCTCCCTGGGTGATTGGCACACCTGCTCAAGTGGGGGCCGAACCGGGACAGCCTCCTGGCTGGTCTCCTTTTAAAGTTTTGTGCTCCTGGGTTCCTTTAGTGCTTTCCCAGAGCTGGCTGGGACAGACTGGTGTGGTTCTTTGGAGAGGCTCAGGCTTCCTATTTCCCTCCTTGCTCGTCCAGGGCGGCAGTGACTGCCATGCTCTTGGTACCACACCTTACTCTCCAGAGGTGTTCAGGCTGGGATTAGACATGGGGCAACAGGAGAGGAGGCCACACCTGCAGGACACGTGCCTTCTGCAGACAGCTTGGTGGCTGTCCCTAGTATGTTCCTTACCAGCATAAGTGTATTTAAAGGGTGTCTTTTGGAAAGGAAGTCTTGTTGATGTGAGCAGATTTATTTCAACATTAATTTTTAGAGGAATTTGGGTATAAACGTTCCAAAATAGAGAATATTGATTGATTCTTCATCATCCTAGTCCAAGGAGAAGGGAGTAGTGCAGAAGTATGCAGATGGGTTCCTGCCAGTGCCGGGGCCTGTGCCCATCAATTGGCGTAGGTGAGGGAAGAGCCCCGGCACATGCCCAGCCCCTCTCAGTTGTCATGTACTCTCTGGATTTCTACGCTCCTGAAGCTTTCTCTCCTCAACCAGACTAATACCCCTGTTTTTGTGAAAGAAAAATTTAGGAAATTTGTGAGAGATGACAGAAAAGGCACGGGGAGGGCAGGCCAGACCCTGGCTCCCACTTCTAAGATAAAGGCCCTGCAGGATCCCCTGCAGCCACTTCTCCCCAGCCTCATCAGGGAGCTTGGTCCAGTTCTGGGGACCCACAAAGTTTTGGCTTCATTATAAGCAGAAATCTTCTATAAAGGTTCTCAAAACAGCACTGGGCAGAAATAAGATACCCAGAGGTCACCAGTGCAGTCACTTGTCCTCAGGCCTCACGAGATGCCCTGTCCCCTCGTACCTAGGCAGCCCGTTGGCCTGAAGCTGGCCACGTCCACCACAGCCCTGGAGGTGCCTCGCTTATGAACCAGGGATTATTTCTGCTTTGGTGCATGATTCAGGTTTGAACTGCTTACCAAACGAACACCAAAGATGATGGCTTGCTCTGATGCAAACTGTGTGTGTATACACGAGTGTGCAGGCAGGAACTGAGAGACCGCGTGAGTGGCACATGCTTTTCATGGTGGCGAGAGATGTGGAAGAGGAAGTTTGCAAAGGTGCCCTCATTTCAGAAAGTATTGCAAGCTGTGCTTTTCCTGTTTCTGAACTGTAGTAAAGAAAGAATGCATCTTTTTTAGCACAAAAATGGAGTCGAGGTGATCTCCCCCTGCCAGATGCCTACAAAGAACTTACTCCAAATTGGGCTATGCCTTGATATGTAATTATTGGTCTTTCATTATTCTGTTTTGAGAATTTTATGGAATTCAGCTTCTGGGATAATCAACAATGACATCATAGTAGTTATGGCACTTAGGTCCTTTGACCTTAGGAGCGAAGCTTATTTTTTAAGTTTATACAGGAGCATCTATTTTCTATTCTTTCCCCACAATTGAAGAATTCTACTTAAATTTTACATCCAGTTAAGTCTCAGCATCCCGTGGTGCAGGGGCATTTCTGAAGGCCTGGTGAGTGTAGCTGTGGCACGCTTGATTTATATTTGCGTTTGCATGTTTGAACTCAGATGTCCCTGGGCTGGCTAGGGCACATCAGGAGGCCTGACTTTTGCCTGGAAGTTTGGCACTTGCTGAACAAGAACTTGTTGCTCTAAGAATGTCAAGTGTGCCTCCTCGGTCACAATGCAAAGGGGGAGGGGGAAAGGCCAATAAGAAATATCTGTTTGTTGTTAAGTAACATTTACTTCATTCGCTATTGAAAACACTTCTCATTCAGGAACTGTATTTTTTTTAAAAGGGAAAAATCAACTTGTGGGCTATAATTTCCTAAGCGTGCTTCAGAAAGGCTTTGCAAAGAGTGGGGTCAGGGAGCCCTGGTTTGCAGACCACCAGCTGTGGGATCCCCAGCCAGCGCACCCTTCTTCACAGGAAGGGTGGTAGGTGGCTGCTGGCTGTGCCTGCAGGCTGGAGCTCGCTCCCCTGGTGCCATGCTCCTGTGTCATTCTGTGTCTTTTCTTTGCTCTCCCCCATACAGATTCGGAGTTAGGTGTTGGCGCGCTGCCCGAACATGACAGCCAGGATGCAGGGCCAATTGTCCCCAAGATATCAGGTCTAGAGAGAAGCCAAGAGAAGAGCCAAGACTGTTGCAAAGAGCCCGCCTTTGAGCCTGTGGTGCTTAAGAACCCCTGCCCTCAGGTCCCGCAGCCGCTGCCCCAGCCCCAGGCGGAGCCCCAGCTCCGAGCCCCTTCTCCGGACCCTGACTTGGTGCCACACACAGAGGCCCCACCAACAGCCCTTCCTCCAAGTACGAAGCCAGCCCCCGCAGGGCCCCCCCCACAGCCTCAGGTGCAGCGGCCACCCAGGCCACCGTCCCCCACTCAGCTGCTCCACTAGCACCTTCCTGATGTGCAGGCCCACCCCTCATCCCAGGGCCTGCGCAGTCCCTGTCAGCCTACAGCAGCAGCCTGAGCCTCAACAGTTTAAGGTGAGCCAACCTGCTCTCTGCCCGCCGGCCACCTTTGCTGGATGGTCAGAGAGTCTGGGTGAGGGCTTCCTAGGAGATGGGTGGCCTGATTGAGAACTGTCCTTGTTTTCTCTGGGAGACGAGGAGATAGGGACAGGGGCTGTTGGGTGAAAGCCGGTTGGGTTGGCTGTTGACACTGCACAGGAGTGAACTATCCAGGATCTCCTGGAGGACAGAGGCAGGAAGGAGAGGTGCTTACCCAACAGGTGGCCAGGCCCATGCCATGTGCATGTAGTCCCAGCTCCTGAGGCCGGAGGGTAGCTTGAGCCCAGGAGCTGGAGACCAGCCTAGGGCACATAGAAAGACCCCATCTCAAAAGATGAAAGAAGAAGAAGCGGTTGAAGATGTGCGCCAGGGAGTGGAGGCCAAGGTGCCTCTGAGGGCCCTGAAGGTGGAGACTCAGAGGAGAGAAGGGGTGTTGTGGGAGGGTTGTCTCCTCAGGCCCAGGAGACTGAGACCAGTGCTGGGTTGAGCATTTTTCAGTAGGATTTACTTCCTCATTTTTGAGTCAGAGAAGAAACCAATGGGGAGAGCCAGGTCCTCCTGGTTGGTCTATGAGGGGCCGTCCAGGGTGACCCTGAGCCCTGTGGGCTCCTGAGACTTGTGCGTGTTATTGTTTTCCTTTTAGAAGCCTGGTGGGGTCAGGGACAGGTGAAGAACAGACCTAAGCAGGCAGGTTCCTCCCGGGGCTGGGCCAGCTCCTAACCGGGGGCCACTCCTATGGCACAAGACCTGGCCCACCTCTTCTTGTGGTCCTGGGGTTATGGTAGCAGACAGGGGCAACCCACGTGGTGGCTCTGTTCCGTTTTGTTCCTTGGCTGCTTTGCAGGAAGTGTGGCGAGGAGGGTGGGGGCAGCAGGAGACAGAGCAGGGCAGGCCGAGCCACAGGAGCGAGGGGAGCTATCTCAGCAGAGAACTGCCTGGACAGCCCTGTGTGTGGCGCTGGGCAGTGGTCTCTGCTGGGCTGTGTGATGGGGAGAGAGAGGCCCAGGGGAGGGAGGGCAGTGGGGACGCAGATGCTCACCTGCGCCTGTTTCTCCCTTTGCTCCACAGCAGCAGGAGGAGCAGCACACTGGCCAAGACTCAGTCCTCCGACCCGCACCTCTCCCACCACCTCTCGGCCTCTCGGTTCCCCCTCTCCCTGCCCAGCCACAGGCCCTTGCACAGCTTCACCCCCGCCCTCCAGGCCCCCGCTCACGTGCATCACCCCAATATGTTTGCCCCGCCCACTGCTTTGCCTCCGCCACCACCGCTGACCTCAGGGAGTCTGCAGGTCCCCTGACACCCTGCCGGGAGCACTTACTCAGGTAGGTTGGCCGGGTGGGCGCCGGGACCTCACTACTGTCCCTGCCGTCCCTCATTGCCAGGCCGGGTGCACTTAAACAACCATGCCCTGGGAGGGGGGTGTGGGAAAGGAGGCCTGAAGGGTGAGGCCCGGCAGGCACCCTGGCTCAGCAAAGCGGCCACAGCCTGCCGGCCCGCGCCTGCTTCTCTCCAGCATCTCAGGCCGAGTCCTGGGGCGTGGGCCTGGCCTGAGGGCTTCCACCTTCCTGGGAAGAAGAGATGCACTTTTATGATGATGCATCTCAGAATTTAGGGATGACCTGGTGGGAGATGGGGTCCTTCTCCCCTCACCTGTGTCGCAGGCCAGGGTCCCAGTACTGCTCTTCCTCTATGTGTCTGCCCTGAGGCCAGCCGGGGAGCCTGCTGCCTTCATGGCTGGCAGGTGTCCCCCCCCCGTTACCCCCACCTCCAAATGACCCAAGGAGGCCAGAGGGCCATCCCAGTCGTGTGGATGGGGAACTGACCTGCTGGGCTGTGCAGCTGGTCCCCAGGCCCAGGTGTTAGTTGAGAGCAGCCCCAGGCTATGGCGGGCCTGAGGTTGTCCCCTCTGTCCCAGGCCCCGGGGGCTGGGTCCTCAGCCCTGCACCCTCCATGCTAAAGCACCCAGATGTCCCGTTCGGAAGGAAAAGGTGCCGACATTTTCCTCTTCTTTTCCAGAGCAAGACATCTTGCGGCAGGAACTGAACACGCGTTTTCTGGCCTCTCAGAGCGCAGACTGAGGGGCCTCCCTGGGCCCCCGGCCTTACCTGCAGACCGAGTTCCACCAGCACCAGCACCAGCACACGCACCAGCACCAGCACACGCACCAGCACACCTTCACACCCTTCCCCACGCCGTCCCTCCCACCGCCATCATGCTGATGCCAGCACCTCCCATGGTGCGTAACCCAGGCAGAAATGTGAGGATGAGTAGAGCCCACTCTCTTCTGTGTGCAGGAGGGTGGGGCTGGTGCGGGCGTGGGCCCTGATGCCAGGCGGCCTTCGAGGGGCAGTGTCCCGCGCCTTACCCAGGTGCCCGGTGCATGCATTTGCCAGTGCTGGGTCCACCTGCTAGTGGCCTTCCTTCTCTGGGCACCTGCCATCCTGGCCCGACAGCAGTGTGAACAACGTGCTGACACACAGGTGCTCACAGCACCAGGAGGGAGGGGACAAGTGGAGGAACAGCCACTGGGGCCAGCTGCCTGCCCTGTGTGGGGTGACATTCAGAGGCTGAGCCCTGAGCCTGGAGGTGTGTGGGCATTGCCATGTACCCAGGGAACTGGGAACTGAAACGGGTGGTCTCAGACAGGCTTCTTTAAATCTTTAAATGCCCTAGCAGAGTTCTACCTCAGTTGTCACTTATGTCCAGTGTTTAGAGAAGGGCCTGGTTGAAACCCTGAAGAGGAGAGTCCATCAGGCCCCAGGAGAGCAGATGGGAATTCACGGAGGGTCCTCTCATCCACCTCTGCGTCTTCTCACCCACTGGCTCAACTTACTTTTCTTAACATATATTTTTAAAGTTTGTTCTACAAGTTTTATTTAGGGGAATATTAAAGATGAGGCCTTTTCACCATCCCCCCTCCACCCCCCCCCAAAAAAAGTCCTATAGCAAGTTCTGTGTCTTTTTTTTCTGAAAGAACTGCATTTCTCAACAGTTATTTATTTGTTTAAATTCCTTTTTAGTTGTAGCTGGACATAATACCTTTAATTTATTTATTTGTTTTCTATGTGGTGCTGAGGATCAAACCCAGTGCCTCATATGTGCTAGGCGAGCCCACCACTGAGCCCTGGCCAACAGCCATGTGTTTAAGGGCCTAATGGTTTAAGAAAATATCATGCTGGCCTGTGTGAGCTGGTCCACCAGTGAGTCAATCTGAGGTCTTAACATCCTGGAGGAAGACAGGCATGAGGGCACGGGTGATGAGTCCTCCTGATGGGTTCAGAAGACCCAGCCCAAGTGCCCTGTGTGGGTGGCATGGACTAAAGAGAACTGCAGATCTGCAGTTCTTCTGGCAAGGAGAAGACCAAGTGGAGGGACCCTGGGAGGCCAGGCCCCGTGCTCGGCTCTCTGGATGGATCTGGAGGTGCCTGTCCTCTCCAGTTTGGGTGTTCACTGTGTCAGCCTCTGAGCACAGAGTAGAAAGAGAGGAACCACCAGGCGTCCAGGGCCCGAGACACCGTGCCGCGTGGGCAGACTGGACTCGGGGTTACCAGAGGCTCAGGAGCTCAGGTGGCTCCTATCCAGTGAGGTTGCAGGGTCTGGGGTCTGGTGATGTCTCAGTGACACAGAAGCTGTAGGCTGCCTCCACTGAGCAGTGAACCAAAGGCAGATGAAGTAACTAGTTTTTGCTTTGATCCCTTTACAGTTTGACAAATACCCTACAGAAGTTGACCCCTTCTACCGGCACAGTGTGAGTTGCATTGTTGAATGTGCCTGCTTTCTGTGCATGCGCTCTCCCCTAGTCAGTACACGGCCAGCGGCCTTCCCGTCACTGCGCCAGTGTGCCCGCTGCTACTCATCCCTGTGGATGCTTGCTTTTGTGGCGTCTTGCTTTTGGTAAAGATGCAGTATCATCTTCAGAGTCAAAAGATCAACACAGCCAGGACAGCCCCCTGGGAGCCAGAACCTGCCCTGCCTGGGGGTGTAAGCATTGCAGCCCTTGCTGCAGCAGAGCCCGAGGCCACAGGACCTCAGCCACAGGCGGAAAGCCAGCCACAGAGGGACCTCAGCCTGACTGTTCCCTCTGAACAAAGTCCCTCATTCTTTTGACTCATAATTCTTCAAAAAGTACATTTTTATTTACTTGAGACTAAATACAGAACCCTCTTCCACATGGCTGATACTGTTCTCCTGAGTGTATTTTCATTTCACAATTAAAATATTGTTTAATTAAAGAAAGCCTTAACATTAAAACGAATGCACCTTTTCTCCTTAAGCTCAATTCTTCATTGCTTAAAAGATGCAGTTTTATGAAATCTTAAGTATACATTCCAGAACTTAAATTGGTACCAACCAGTTATATGATCATTGATGTAGAAGACAAGAGCTTCTCTATACAAAGACCTTGAATACTTGATTGTGATACTTTGATTATGGGGTGAATACTGAATCATTTTTATCTGAAAATTTGCAAGTTTATTTGCTCAATGGTTTTTCTTTTCTTTTCTTTTTAATTTGTAAGTGAATCCAGGAAAAAGGAAAAGTCATAATTGCTTGTAGCCATGTTGACTCATCATTTACAGCTATTCCCATTTTGATTCTTAGATTGTGTTCTCATTTTGGTGGAAATGTTGCTCAGCAGATCAGCAAAGACTGAATTCATTCATACTTTAAATAGATAATTAGGCACTTTATTAGTCAAGAGCATATCTGAGAAATCAAGACTAGGAAATATTAGAAATCCATTAAGAATCACTTACTCTGGAGCCACTCAGAAGTGACGTGAGGCCTCTTCAGTAAGGAAAGGTGCATATGAGGGCCTTGCACCCACCACGTGGGCCACCTGTGTTGCTCAGCACTGATGCAGAAAGGTTTTCAGATGGACATTCAGGACCCAGTAGGCCTGGGTCCCTCTTGGGACCTGCCCATGAGTGGTGCCACTTTGCCTTGCTCTGTGTCTTGCTGATTTAATGAGGGACCAGCTCACAGAATGGTTTCTGTGGAGCTCAGTGTGCCCAGGAGGTGGCTTAGGTTGGCAGCCTGAAGCCACGCTCCGTGATCCATGGGCACACTCCATGGAGATGCCTAGGCTGGGGCTGGTGAGGCAGCTTAGGGGTCTGGACTTTGGAAAGTGTCCACGACCTCTGGTTCTCTAGTGGGGACAGTCTTCAGCTATATTTATTTTCTAGTTGTCAGCAGTGGGACAGATGAGGGGAAGTGGGAAGAGCATTGGGTTTCACTGTGAACGTGAAGGGAACTGCCCACCTGGACAAGTTTCTGGTGGAGGGTGTTGGTCACTCCACTTCCTTCCTACAGGGCCCTGGGGGGTCCTCACATGGCCAGTTACAGAGTGATATAGGAAGTGCTTAGTCCCTCTTGCCTTGGGATCAGGACGCTACAGGCAGACGGCAGAGGGCGTGCTCAAGAATCTAAAACCCAGTCTTGGACTTGAAAGGAGTTCTGAAAGGGGGCACCCTTGCACAGTCCCTGTGTAAGTGGGTTCAGTTCAGGACCAATGAGTCTGAAACCTCTGTGCACCACTGGAGAGAGCAACTGGAGTCGGCCTGAAAGAGACGTGTGGGTCTCAGTCTCTGCCAGAGCAGTGGTGTGAGGGCCTTATTGGGAAGGTGCATTGTCATATTGTGACATGTGACACAACTGTGAGTTGGTGTGTCACTTAAATATCCACATGATGGTTTGGTCAAAGTGAACGGACCCAGAGGTGTAGAACCTCAGAGGTAATACAATTTCCAAAGGCAGGAAAGATGTGCTCACATCATCTCGCAGTATTTCTGTACATTTTTCCTCCAGTTATGTCCTTTGTATGCTAATGAGTCAAGAAAATTTATATTTTTCACTCAAAATCATGCTTTTCCTGTCATGAGGTGGTCAGACTCACACATCAACAGCTTGTCTTGCATGACCTCCAGTGAGCTTGTCTATTGAGCAGCAGACACGATTCAAAGCTGGCCCTAAGAATCAGGGCCTTGTGTTAATCCCAAAGAGCTCCAAGTTCCAGGAGAGCTGAGAGCGAGAGTGGCTCTGAGCTCTGCATGCAGACCCAGCAGTCCTGGGGGAGCCCCACATGTTATTTGTTACATGTAATCTACCTTTTAAGAGAACTGGCAGCTCTATTTAAAGTTTAAACTGAGTCATTTTATTTTACCCTTCCACAAATATTTGTCATCATTTTAGATGAGAGAATTAAATTGTCCTCTGGAACTTCCACTTCTAGAACAACCTAATGAAGCACGGATTGTGAATGTGTTCTCATTTCCTCAAACTATTAAAAATCTAAAAGCACTAATTGAGTTTTAATGGTATAAAATCCTAGCACTCATGAGGAACTGCTTCTTTTTCTTTCCTTTTTCTTTTTTCTAATTAACTTGTGATTTTCTGGGCATTTTATCGGCCCAGCATCCCTCCTGGTTTGGATATGCATGAAACCTCTACCCATTTAGGGCTTGATTGTGATTCACCAATTAATAATTAGAAACCTCCCTTTCTAAAGGCGTTCTCATCTGGGACACCATTTGTTGGCTCATTGATTCTGAACTACTTTTAAATCAGACATTCGTGTGCATCTGTGTGATCACCCTTCCCATCCTGGTTCTTCACTAGTGGCACCTGGCTGAGTTGCCTGGCTCGCTCCTGTTGGTTTCTTTCTGTGGGAGGGGAATGTGAACATGTCACCTGCCTTCGACTAAAGCCGTTTTCTCCTCTCATCTCTGGCCACAGCTCTTCCACTCCTACCCTCCTGCAGTGTCAGGCATCTCCCCCATGATCCCACCCACGGGACCTTTTGGTTCACTACAAGGAGAATTTCAGCCCAAAATAAGGAGGGCACAGGGAAGACCCAGGGGTGTGTCTTGCTGGGCACGACGGGGTCTGCCCCTTCTTTCTGCACAGTGACTGACTTCTCAGATCCTAAGTGACCCGGGGATTAGAGTGAGAGGATTTTCTTCTAGTCCATTTAGTTTTAAGCCTCAGCAAAATTTGAGGCTTCAGTTGGTACTCCCATGTGATCTCAGCTGAGCTTCTCTGTCCCCTGTGGAAGATGCCACCACGAGCATGGGCTTCTGTCCAGGGAGCCATAACCTCTGAGCCCAGCTGACTTTTGAGGCAGAGATGGGAGGCTGGGCCTGTCAGTTTTCCAAGGAAGAGGCTGGGCTGAAGTCCCAGGGGTGCAGCAGTCTGTGTTGTTGTATCGGGGAGATTCCCCTCCTGGCCTGCCCTGTCCTCCACAGCCCCAGCTGGGCACCCGGGTCTGCTGGAGTGGAGGCCGAATCTCTGGCCTCCTGGTTCTGTGCTTCTCCTACCGCTGGCTCTCAGTGTTCAAACTGCCAAGGTCACAAACATTTTTGAGAGGGACTTTCAGGACATGCATGTTTAAAATCAACTGCAGCCCATTTTACTCTCTTACCAAAGTGACACATCTTCTAGTTGAAAAACATTCTCACATTTTCTGTGGTATGTGCTTTTCTTTTTCTCTCCATCCCATTTCTGAGGTGAGCACCAGGGTGGGGCCAACCTCCCAGGATGGGCAGCTGCTGTTTTTCCCAATACTATTACACCTGGACAGGAGGACAGAGGCCCTGGTGTGGGGTGGCTGCCCTCCAGGCCTTGTCCCCTTGCAATGAGTGCCCCCTGACATGCGAGGTCACACATGCAGAGGGCTCTACAGTGGCTCAGCCAAGTGCCTCCTATCTGGAGACCGAAGAAGGTGGTCTTCAACTCCTTCCCCGAGCCTGCTCTTTAGTGCTCCCTCAGACCCTGGTCCGTCCCTTCTAGGTTGGGACAAATCTCTAGTGCATCCCCAAACAGACTGGTAGGTCATTTAATAAATTAGACTATTTCCCTCACTCACAATTATCCAGTCACACAGAAAACTGCATCTGGGCAGGAGAGAGCCTCTGCTGGTGTGGAAATAGGCTTTTCCAGGCCACCTTCCTGATTGAATATGTAGATTGCAGTTCATTAGTGGAGTTCTTCATATGTATGCAAATCAGGCTGTTAACAATTCCAGCTTAATTGTTGGTTGTGCTGCAGCTGATTGCTTTCCTTTCATTCCTTTCCCCTTCACCAGGGAGGCAAGCCTGGTGCCTGAACTTGAGCTCCTTTTCCACACAAGTTAACTTCTGGTGTGTGTGTGTTGGGGGGAGGGTGTCCTGGAGGTTGTGATTTCCTAAATAACTGGTGTTACATAGTTTTAAAATCCTTCTCCCACAAGACCATAATGACTGTGCCCGAAGTAGGCTTTTGGTTGTTGTTCATTCAAAGGACAAAAGCCTACAGATAGGTTAATATTATGAGTGGTGTGTAAGAAGGGAGGTAGGATAGGGGAGACACAGGCAGAATTTGATACTGCATCTGTGTGGTCCCTATGTTGGGTTCTCTTGTCCCATTTCCACCACCGCTAATGAGTCATTACTGAGTGTAATTTCTAGTTATTGTCTGCCAGTTAAAATGTGGAGCGTTGGCTTAATGTCTGTGCAGTGCTATCAGCTCTTCTGATGTGAAGCACCTGACACTGCAAATGATGGCGGTGTTCACTTGAACATCTCCTGGAATGTCTGGAGTGGGCAGAGGGGCGGCCAGCTAGAGCTGGGCCACCTGGGAAGGAGGCGTCCGGGCCAGCCTCTCCATGTGTGGCTGCCCTGTTTGGTCCCTGTGGCTTCCACTGTGGTGACGGGTGCTGGAGGCCACCTCTCTGCTTTAGATGGCATGGGAGAGAGCTGCCTCTGGTCAGAGTGCTGGAGAAAACAGGGAGCAGCCCTGTACAAGCTCACGTGCTCACTGAGAAAAATGAGTCTGTGATTTAGAATGAAACAGATGAAGTCTCACTTCTTCATTTAGAAGGAGGAAAGATTTTGCTTCATGTCCCGTGTTTTGTGCTTCCTAAGCTGTGGTCTAATTAATTTGTAGACATCTGACCCTATCGATGTTGCTGCTCAGCCCGGGACAGTCCCACACACTTTACTTCAGAAGGACCCGCGGGTACATGCCAAGTCAGGCTTGGTCTCAGGTAACCCGGGTGTGTTCAGGGGACAGGTCCTGTGCATGACCCTCCTATCTCCTTTGAGAGAGCTGCTCTCAGGGAAGGGACTCTTCCCACCTGTGCAAGAGAGTGCCAGTTCCTCCTGGGAGACACTCTCTCCTGCCCTGTGAGTGACACCGGAAGGTTGACTTCCCAGCAAAAGGAGGGGGACGGGCTTGTGATCTGAGCCTATAAAGTGGACACTGTGGCTTCTCCAATTCCTACTTGACCAAGCCTTTCTGTCTGCAAGTCCTTATGTTGCTGTGGGTGCTCTGGATAGACAAGCACTGAGTGCTTCTCCTGCTGGACATCAGCCCCCGCCACCCGCTACCCGAGGTCAGGACATCCCAGACCCCATGGCTCCCCTGGCCCTCTGCTTTTAATGTGGCCGGGATCCCCTGTGCTCTAGAGCTGAGTAAAATATCCATGATGTTTTGGTTATGTCATTTATTAATGGTCTACACTGCACCTACTCCCAAAGAAGAACTTGAAGTTCCACAGGAGGTACAATCTTGTCTCGACAATGGTCATTTATCTTTATAGTAAATGTGAGAGAACGATCCCATCCCAGTGCTGTCTCCTCCCTGGGTAAGGGCAG